GTCGTATAATTAACAAGGATAAACTGATGTTTTTTAGTTGATGAGTACTGCAGATATCACTGTTAAATCATTTGATCATTGGTTTTATTTTGAAAACGTCGAGACCGGAAATACTGTTTTCAACCCGTAACTTTACATGGAGGCTGCCGCATACCTCAAATCATCTTCGTAATATCTATCAAACTATAGATCCTACATATCGACTGGACGTGGATTCTAAAAGTACAATATAGACTTCTCGCTAGAAATCTAATCAAAAAGAGTTTTAATGGCCAAACTATCCTGCAATTTAGGATTTTACAGAGAGGGTTATTTGTGAATAAACGACCATCTGTAACGTTTGCATTCAACAGGAGCACTAGAGGGCAAACACTTTCAAACATAATTATAGGACGTATTAAGCGCTTGAACAAACGACATACTGGTCGTAATAAGGGCCTGAACAATCGGCCCATTTGGTCGTATGAGTTGGAGGACTTGTTGAAATAGAGTGGTGCAGGGATGACGTATTTACCCGGAAGTAAGCTGCTGGTTCCCTCGACAAAAAAGCAATGGGATTTCTCCATAGGATGTTGGAAAATAGCTCTAAATAAGGTCTGTGGAAAACGAACATGTTTGATAAATGCACGTTTTCTTCAGCCGGATAATATCCACATGTCTACCCTACTTTTATAATTTTCTAATCATAAATCTAATCGCCAGAAGCAAAATGCTAACGTTATGCTATAAACGAACTACAGCCGAGTACGGCAGGGTCGCCCAACTTCAACGTCACGCCAACTTAAGATTGATATTCAAAAATACAGATTCAAAATTGTACAAGTTGAAGCGTTTCTTTTAACAGTTTGCAGGAGCGCAGGTAGTTGCTTTCAAGCAGAACAGGGGCAAACAAACTTAGCGGGAGTGTTTAAATGTTCGGCGTAATGACGTACAACGTCCTCGACAACTTCTGTAGTCCTATTCAGCCACTTTTTAAAAACTGTCGTTTTTCAGACACGTAAACTCTTCAAAATCACCAGTGGGGTCACTACTGATCAAATCAAATCAAATCATGTTTTGTTTATATAGCACATTTAAAAGTGATTTTTGGTCGAGCCAAAGTGCTGTACATGCAATAAAAACACTTTACTACAATAGCAAACAGAAGACAATAATTTACAACAGCAAATATATAGATAAAACACAGGGAAATATCAGGAGTCGTGCTCCGCTCTGACTAGAAGGCCAGGGAGAAGAAGTGTGTTTTAAGAGTAGATTTAAAAGAGAGAGAGTAGAGTGTTCCAGAGCCTAGGGCTGCTGCGAAGGCTCGGTGACCTCGAGTTTTCAATCAATCAATCAATCAATTTTTATTTATATAGCCCAATATCACAAATGTTACATTTGTCTCAGTGGACTTCACAGTGTGTACAGAATATCAGTATGACAATACGACACCCTCTGTCCTTAGACCCTCACATCGTACAAGGAAAAACTTCCAGAGAAAACCCACAGTTTAAAGGGAAAAATGGGAGAAACCTCAGGGAGAGCAACAGAGGAGGGATCCCTCTCCCAGGACGGACAGACGTGCAATAGATGCCGTGTGTAAATCGAAAAGATAATACATTTGCAACATAGGTAGTCCAAATGTTTGGAAATGCATGTGTGTATAATAGGAAGATGAATCCACGAGGATATCCATCCAGGACCTATGATCCAGGACCACAGCCACGACTCAAGATCCAGGTTTTAAGATCCAGGACACAGGACCGCAGGATCATCCATGACTCCGGATCCCAGCGTATATAGACACCAAAAAGAAAGAAATTTGGGGAAGCTGGGTTAATCGGAACATGAGAGTACACAGGTATAGACAGAGAGAAGGAAGAAGTAAGATGTCCCCGGACAAACTAAGCCTATATCAGCAAAACTAGGGGCTGAATCTAATCAGCCCTAACTATAAGCTTTATCAAAAAGGAAGGTCTTAAGCACACTCTTAAAAACGGATAGGGTGTCTGCCGCCCGAACACAAACTGGAAGCTGATTCCACAAATGTGGAGCTTGATAAGAAAAGGCTCTGGCTCCCATTGTACTTTTAGAGACTCTAGGAACAACCAACAACCCTGCATTCTTGGAACGCAATGCTCTAGTAGGACAGTAGGGTATAATGCGTTCTTTAAGGTAAGATGGCGCCTGCCCATTAAGAGCTTTGTAGGCGAGAAGAAGAATATTAAATTCTATCCTGTGTTCTATAGGGAGCCAGTGTAAGGCAGCCAGAACAGGAGTAATGTGGTCCCTTTTCCTAACTCTGGTTAGTACACGAGCTGCAGCATTTTGAATCAGCTGAAGAGACTTGACTGACTTCTTGGTACACCCTGATAATAAAGAGTTACAATAATCCAGCCTTGAAGTAACAAATACATGGACTAGTTTCTCTGCATCGTTTTGAGGCAAGATATGCCTGATTTTTGCAATGTTAAGTAGATGGACGGTCCTTGAAATTGATTTTATGTGGGCATTAAAGGATAAATCCTGATCAAATATAACACCAAGATTCCTTACAGTCTCACTGGAGGCCAAATGAATGCCATCCATAATTAGTATATCTTTAGATAATTTGTTTCGTAGATTCTTTGGGCCGAGTACAATAACATCAAAAAGTTTAAGGTCATCCACGTTTTTAAGTCCTTGAGGCAGTCTTGAATTTTATTTAGATGATTAATTTCATCAGGCTTAATTGATAAATATAGTTGAGTATCATCCGCATAACAATGAAAATGTTGAGCCTGGTCTTGGGCACTACCAGCAGCAGCTGGTCAGCCGACCTTAAGGCTCTGGCTGGGGTGTAGCGATGGAGGAGTTCTGCTATATGAGCCGGAGCCAGCCCATTTAGTGCTTTGAAAACAAATAAAAGGAGTTTAAAATCAATTCTGAACCGAATTGGAAGCCAGTGCAATGAAGCCAGAATTGGGGTGATGTGGTCACGCTTTTTGTGGCCGGTCAGAAGACGCGCAGCTGCGTTCTGGACTAGCTGCAGGCGTTTAATTGACGCCTAGTCCATACCCACATACAGAGCGTTGCAGTAGTCCAGCCTCGTGGTTACAAAGGCATTAATAACCCTTTCTAGGATTTTAAAAGATAAAAATGACTTGGTCTTGGCCAATAGTCGTATTTAAAAAAAAACAGGTCTTGACTACGGTGCTAACCTACTGATGTATTTAATGTTGTTTAATGTGATCCGTTTCTTAAATTAGTTTCAACCACAGACCTTATTTCGAGCTATTTTCCAAAGTCCTATGGTGCTGAGACGAGGGAAACCGTAGTGGTAAAATGCTAACTCACTTCTGGGTTTTAGGACTCGTCACTGCACCACTCTATTGGAGTGCACATGTTACATACTGATGTCACCACAGAAGTAAACAAAGGAGTACAACGATTGGGGGGGGGGGATTTGAGAGAGAAACACCGCATCTTAGCTTTGCAGACCATTTACAGTGCATCCGGAAAGAATTCATGCCCCTTTACCTTTTTCACATTTTGTTATGTTACAGCCATATTTCAAAATGTATTGAATTCATTTGTTTTCTCAACATTCTAGACACATTATCCCATAATGTCAAAGTGAAAAAAGTTTTAAAATAATTTTTGCAAATGAATTAAAAATAAAAAACTCAAATATCACATGTGCATAAGTATTCACACCCTTCACTCAATACTTTGTTGAAGCACCTTTGGCAGCAATTACAGCCTCAAGTCTTCTTGAGTATGCTACAAGCTTAGCACATCTTTGGGCAGTTTCTCCCATTCTTCTTTGCAGATCGTCTCAAGCTCCATCAGCTTGGATGGGGAGCGTCGGTGCACAGCCATTTTCAGATCTCTCCAGAGATATTCAATCCGGTTCAAGTCTGGGCTCTGGCTGGGCCACTCAAGGACATTCACAGACTTGCCCTGAAACCACTCCTTTGTTATCATGGCTGTGTGCTTAGGGTCGTTGTCCTGTTGAAGGGTGAACCTTTGCCCCAGTCTGAGGTCCAGAGCTCGTTGGGACGTTCAATGCTGCACACATTTTTCTGTACCCTTCCCCAGATCTGTGCCTTGATACATACCTGTCTCTGAGGTCTAAAGACAAGTCCTTGGACCTCATGACTTGGTTTGTGCTCTGATATGCACTGCCAACTGTGGGACCTAGACAGGTGTGTTCCTTTCTAAGTCATGTCCTATCAATTGAATTTACCACAGGTGGACTCCAGTCAAGTTATAGAAACATCTCAAGGATGATCAGTGGGAACGGGATGCGCCTGAGCTCAATTTTCAGTGTCAAAGCAAAGGGTGTGAAATACTTATGTACATGTGATATTTCATTTTATTATTTTTAACACGTTTGCAAAAAAATCTTTAAAAACGTTTTCACTTTGTCATTATGGGGTATTGTGTGTGGAATGTTGAGAAACACAATGAATTTAATCCATTTTGAAATAAGGCTGTAACATAACAAAATGTGAAAAAAGTTAAGGGGTATGAATACTTTCCGGATGCACTGTACATGCACAAAAACCTATTAAACACTACAGGAGAGGGAAAACCTAAAAGTGACAATGACAGTGCAAATCTGTAGTGTTTTTGGCACATGGCCTAATTTTATTGTGGTGACATAATGAAAAAGCACCTATTAGTTTGCATAAAACAAATCTTGTGATACATTTAGGGTTAATGGTGAGAATCAGATGCATGTCATCCTGCATTAACTGTGTCTGTATCCATATTTAAAATCTGATCATCATGAATAATGCATATGCTATTCGATCTACAGTATACCTGGAAAACTGTGGCGAGATACACACCACCCAACGGTATCATTTCAAACTGTAGACCTGAGATAATGAAAATAATCATCTGCCCGTTCTAACAAAGGCTTTTTGAAGTCTCTCTCTCTCTGTCATATATCTATTAAAAGCTGCTGCTGACGTCAAAAGTGTCCACCATCTTTGACGAGAGCTGCACTGCCCCCCCCCCCCCCCCGGTTCCCCAAACCATTGAAGAAGAAGTGAGGAGGACTCAGCCGACGCTTAGCAGTGCCTTTGCAGCATCCCAGTCATATTCAGAGAGAGAGAGAGGCTGTGTCGGTTAGCTGTTGATATCCGCAGACATTTCCTCCCAAACTGACTGCGGGGCACCGACAACAGGCACAGGTAAGACCCGAGACTCTTTATACTCCTTTTCTACTAATCTTATTTCTTAATTGGGTTGTTTTGTGCGCATTGAAGCAGTTTGTTATTCGTGAAAGGCAAGCGTTGGATTTCTGAATCAGGGTGAAGCTTTTTGGGGTTTCCTCTTCTTTGGGAATATAGAGGATGATTTGCGGTGTTATAACTCAGAAGACATGGAAGAAAAGCAATGCGTGAACTCGCCGGGTGATAAATCCCTCACGCGCAGTGGATGCGGAGCGCTATAATGCGTAAAATGCAATGTGGGCGTTTAAAGAACCTTGGACAGCGGCAGAGAAGGAAACCCACAGCGAGGAGGTGAACTGCAGCTCCATCTAAACACCGCATTGTGAAGTGAGCATTTTTTTTATTCGGGGTCGTGTCTGAGTCAAGCATTTCTCCCAGCCATTTTAGATCTTCAAATCAATGACTGAGAGCCTCGCCCCCCCTCCTTCTCGGAGCTGATAGCCGCAGCAGGTAGACCGCTGATGTCGCAGCGAGGTGAGGGGAATCACGAAGCAGCATCTGTCAGCCCGGAGAACGAAACAGCATCTCCCGCTGACTCCAGGAGAGGAGTCTGGGTGATTGCGGTGCATGTGGTCTGATGAACTGAATGTCATGTTACTGTAAACTGCGCCATGGTGGACGTCGGTGGGAGAAGGGTAGACGATATAAACAGAAGGAGGTGGGAGGGAAAACGGGGGGTGATATGATCCTGCACGGAATGCGTCTCCCCCTTTTTTTATTTGTTTTTACGCATTGCCTTTACATAGGCCTACTTATAAAATGTACGTGATAGAAGGGAAACTATCCCATGGTCAAGGTGCGGGTGGTGGGGGTGGATGGAGGTGAGTAAGGTCTCCGGGGAGGACCACGGTGAAACCCGCACTATGACACCCCCCCCCCCCCCCCCCTGTATTCATTCATCAAACGAACATTACTGTCAATCACGCATGGCGCACAGAGGCTCATTTGGTAATGCACATGTAAACCAGCTTGCATTTAGATTGCACCATATTAGTGCATACTGTATATAAATAAAAGGCAAGTGTGCAATTTCTTCTAAATTTGACTTAATTTGCTGTTTCTAAAAAGCATGTAGGAGACAGACTTGACACTATGGTGTATGTCATGATTTTTCACATCATGCCAAATGGGTTTTTTGGGAACAAGGACGATTCATGCTGGTATGGACGTTTGGGCTGAGGAACAACAGTGGATGTCTGGATTGTGTGTGGTGAATTGACGCCCCTGTGCAGCATGTCACGCACAGCGCCCACACCATGGCTGCTTGTTAGAGGAACCTCACACGGGGATGTAGACATAGATGGTTGTTGGGTATCTTTTGAGTGTGTTGCGATGCGGCACATTGCACTCATGTTGATCTGTGGGATTATTTCATATTAGCTCACATGGCAGCATGACTTGCTGTCACCTCAGGGTTAATTTGTGCCCCTGGGAACCCTGCCATGAGGATCACAAGAAGATGTTCTCACATTCCTTTAGTGAGTTTGTAATGACCTTAAAGACACGGATTGGATCATACAGTCAAAAGCAAACAAACATGAGTTGATTAATGAAGAACAGCCTGCAGGCGTTAGACTGTGACAGCAGCGTGTTCATTACAATGGCACATTATAGCCTGCAGTACATAGAGAGCACAGTAAAGCCCCAAAGGATGCTCCAGTTGCCATGACCGCTATACCATGTCGCGTTATGCGGCTAGCAGTGTTTGGACTGCAGAGAGGGAGAGAGAGACGGAAGCAGGGGGGGGGGGGGCTATACTGCACACACTGTGAAAGGGGGCTGCTCTCTGAATAAATGGTGACTCACAACAGCATCGCCATCACCATCAACCGTCCACTGATTGTGTCTCAGAAACACCCTGGCCATTGTTCATTTCAAACAGGCACTTTCACACACACCTGCATTGTATCTTTGTGAAATGGAGCTAAAGATTGATGCCGGTGAACGCTGATGCGGCTGCGCATTGCGTGTTTCTGTGCAGGTACAGGTCTTAATTATTTCGTATATCCCAAATGTACGCACGTTAACATTCCATTATCATCTTTCATGATAAAATCAATGAGAAAGTAGCATTTAAAATGTTTGGAGCATCCTCTTCGGCATATCTCTTGCTACTTTGGATAAAAGGATCATTTATTGTCATTGTCAAACTCAGGGATGTGCAGCAAATGCTTTTATAGTGCCATTCTGCTGAGTAAGAATAACAAAAAAGGCAAAACAACTATTTGATAAGAGTGTGGAATGATTAATGTAATGCCGTGTTGTTCTTTGGCCTTCACTTATCAAACATACGTCTTCTTTTCCTCCTCTACACTAGCAGATAAAAGTCCTTTTGGGAGCAAACCCCATGTTTTGCTCTTCATAATTGATTCACAAATAGCTGTTTATATTCGGGCCTTGCATCCAACCTAGAGCTTCAGAAAAGAAAACAACTACCTGCTGAAAGAAGAGAAAGAAAAGCATCCTTTGCTCAAGGGCATTTGTTTGTACTGCGGTTGTTTCTCTCCCTCTCACCCAGTTCAGGTTTTATCTGCATGACAAACAAAATTGTCCTCGTGGATTCAGCAGAACTTGTTCAGCCGCTGTCGCATTAGTCACTTGTCCCGAATAATGCCCCGTGGTGGTCAAGTAAGCTGTTCTGTCTGTATTTTCTGAACAGCAGAGTGCTTTTTCGATCATACTCCATAGCCAGAGGAGAATTGGATATTCTGTCTGCTTCTTGGAGACATCATAATGGGTCATATACTGTTCAGGATATTGTGTTTTTTCTCAGTGCAAAATCATCAAGCCATGGAAAATAAAAATGTATCATCATGACTTGAAAATATTTACTATTGATTTTGACTTATCAATGTCATCAGTCTTCATAGATGTGGTACCCCTGCTGGTCTAAGAGTGAAACAAACTCATTCAGTTATTGTTCAGTTAAAATTCATTAAATGATGTCTGCCACCTTATATATTTATATGTAAGGCTTTACTGATGTGCCACAATAATGTATCCTGATGTTATTGAGTTAAATATTAATATTGTGGCTTTCCAAGTTAACATTGATTGAGATGACTGCGATTAAATCAGCATATACTTCTGCCAGGGGACGCCACCCCTCAGAATCTCCTGCCACCCTCTTGCCACCCCATGAATATTTGTCTAGATCCGCCCCTGCTTACGTGGTTACTTGTATAGGTTGAGGTTGTTCTAGGCTGTTGCTTGGCGTGGCGAGAATATTGCTCCACTTTCTCCGGTCCTCGAAATTCGGCTTCCAGTAGCTCTGGAGAGAGCTTTCGCACCTGTGGCCACTAACCGTCATCATTTCTCTGCTTTGTTTCAAGACCCGCATCACTCCACCGCTCCCATGTTTTTTTTTGTGTTGCCATAAGTTAGTCTCTCTGTGTTGGTGCGCGGGGCTAATGCTAATAATGCTAATGCCCGCAAATACAATGGCGGCTTCACAAAGCTTTTCAGAGTTGTATGGGGCGTGGTTTGCAATTCGCCCAGCCAATAGAAATTGGTACTTTTTTCTCCCCAGGATAGTACCACCTCTCTAGCAGGCACTAAACATGGGGGTAACATTTCCCGGCACTAAGTACTCTTTTTGGTGTGTACGCGACATAAGGGGTACTAACGGAACTAAACGGGAAAAGTACGGGGAAAAGTACTCCGGTGTGAACGTGCCTAATTCTACCCGTGATATACGCTCATTATATCACGGCTAAGAACCAATCAGATTGCTTGATTTGACTTGTCCGTTTTATTATTCAAATTAACTACTACAAATAACACAAACACATGTGGTTTTAGAGAGGGAGATACCGTTCAACCCATAAACAACCATTATTAACATACAACACTCCTTGAAACACCTCAATGTGTCCATTTTACTTACTTACAGTACTTTATTTACATATTGAACAAACATAACATAACATAACATTTGAGTATATCACGGCTAGCTGTTTTCAGTTCTTAAGCTAAGATAAAGCTGGAAGGTTATCTTATTATATAACGTTTTAAATTAGATTGGATTGTACTTTATTGTTATTGCACAGAGAACAGATACTGAGAAGCCAGAACAAAGTCTTGGCAAGAAAGTAAATAAGCATACTTGTCAAACTTTTCCTGTGAATGAAATGGTAGATAATAGCCCTGATTTAGAAGGAAAACAGGATCCAGCTTTGAGGCTTTTTAAGAGAAAGGGTTTACTTTTCCAAACTCAGGGGCTCATCAGAAGTTAAAATGCAGAGTCAGGGTGAGAGGAAGGGTTGAGCTTTTTTTGTGTCGAGTCAGCCCTCACGGGACGACCTCTCACTTTCAGAGACACTCCACATGTGGACAACAAAAGAGAAACAAAATGGCTGCTACAATGAAGTGGTGCATTGCTTCTAACCACGTAGGAAAAAAAGTTGAATTATCAAAGCAATAGTTTGTTACTTTTATCAGTTTGTTTTATTGGTTTTATCTTTATTTAGCTATGTTTCCTCAAACTTGTCAGGTGGATAGTCATATTGCATTATGGGTAGCTAAATGCTTATTAATGAAGATGGGTTTGGGATATTGATTGAGGCTCGTTTCAGTGCTGGCACAAAAGCCTGACGTCTCTATATTTAGTTGTATTCATCTTACCTCCTGTTTTACCCTCGATATGACAGCAACAGAGAGTTCATATTATCTCCCTCTTGCTTTGATGCTTTTCTGGAACTGAAAAAAATAACTCCCACATGGTTTTAGCCACTTTTATGAGTCAGTTATCTTCGAGGCCAATCTACCGCGCTGTCATCATTCTGCCATCTGTCTTCTCTCCCGCTCTTACAGGATAACATTATTATTCTTTTGATTAATGAAGGGAATTTAGAGAAGGAAAAAGAACGTTATTACAGCGAGAGGGAAGGAGAGAAGCGAGATAGAGACAATGGAATAATGGAGAATAAATGAGGGAGAGAAACTGTGAAATCGATTTG